GAGCAAAGATATTTGATTGAACTCTTGCAATTTTTTCTTCCCCTCTTGCGACACATAAGACTTTCATTAACTTGATTGAGTTAGGTATTTAAAGAAAAAGAAGAGTTATTGAGAGTTATTAATAGTACCAAAAAAACCATGATTTAACAAAATTTGAAGAAAACGAGAATCTAACAAACATTTCATTTATTCAGTACCTCATTATTAATGGTAAAGAGCAAAGATATTTGATTGAACTTTTGCAATTTTTTTCCCCTCTTGCGACACATAAAACTTTCATTAACTTGATTGAGTTAGGTATTTAAAGAAAAAGAAGAGTTATTGAGAGTTATTGATAGTACCGAAAAACCGTGGCTTAACAAAATTTGAAGATAGCGAGAATCTAACAAACATTTCATTTATTCAGTACCTCATTATTAATGGTAAAGAGCAAAGATATTTAATTGAACTTCTGTAATTTTTTCTTCACCTCTTGCGACACATAAAACTTTCATAAACTTGATTGAATAAGATATTTAAAGAAAAAGAAGAGTTATTGAGAGTTATTAATAGTACCGAAAAACCGCGGCTTAACAAAATTTGAAGATAGCGAGAATCTAACAAACATTTCATTTATTCAGTACCTCATTATTGATGGTAAAAAGCAAAGATATTTGATTCAACTTTTGCAATTTTTTCTTCACCTCTTGCGTCACATAAAACTTTCATAAACTTGATCGAGTTTATTTAAATAAAAAGAAGAGTTATCAATCAAATAAATTTACGACTTCCTTGTGATAGTGAAACTCATTTCAAACTTTACTTTGGTGGAATATAGGAATGATTAATGTTGGAGAAGGAAATAATCTGTTTTCTCTTCGGCTTTTATCTCCCTCGATAACTGCATATTGTGTTAAAGTGAAAGTTCAAAAAACTTTATGATCTGCGAGAGAGGAACACTTATGGTTCGCTAAACTGAAAATCAATATCGATTCGAAGAACTTTATTTGTATTGCCTTTTTTTTGCTTAGTTCCTGTCGTATCGTTATACTAAAAGTGGATAAAACTTTTTTCATCGCTTAATATGGTGTTTCTGCACCAGAGTTTGAAAGATCGCTATGTTGTGGTTGTCAGAATTACTAAGTGTAGTCTCAGAAAATTCTGCATTGTAAAAATAATCTTCGTCTTCATTGAAAACATTCATTTTGTTACTCAAAATAGAAAAGTTAATCGAAGAAAGAGGTATGCCAACTGCTCCGTTTTCAGAAAAGGTTTTACTAAATTTGCAGCGAATTGGATAGTTAAGGACCTTTTTCATAAAAATATTATCACTTCAGAGCAGAGGGGTGAAATAATGGCGTTAAAAAATTAGGAATACAGCAGAATTTTTTTTAAAACCATTTTTGTACCTGGCGATTATCTTTTGTTCATTAAATTCTTTAATCTATTATTTTATTGTAGAGCCTGTAACTCACTCTTGTAATCATTTAAAGGCGAAATTTGAATTATTAAAGAATCATCATTTCTCTATTTCCATGATTTCTTTTAGTTGTTAGATAGCTTTAGTTTAAACTTATCCTAGATTTTTATTTATTTTTAATTGGCCAAGTATGTATTGATAATATGATTAAAATGAGTATGTATCAGTATGAAATTTTAAAAATTTATTTATTATTATGCTGCGCAAGTCTTTAATGATAATATGATAAAAATGAGTAGGAATAAAAATGTAATGATATGTATTGATAAAAATTTATTTATAATATTTCGCAAGTGTTTAATGGTAATATGATTGAAACGAGTATGTATCAGTATGTAATGATATGTAATAATAATATGTAATGATAAAATTTTTAATATTTCTCAAGTATTTAATGATATGATAGAATAATAGTATGATAAAAATGAGTATGTAATTCAATCAAAAATAACTTTGTCAAACTAATTTTGTAAGCGTTGTAAGTAAAAATGCTGGTTTGATCAGTGTATTATTAAATTCAATATGCGCAATCAGTATGGGTCAATTGAATAAATATTTTAAGCAAATATTGTTTAATTTTTTTAATGAAAGTTTGTAATTTATTTTTAATTATAAAATTTTAACTAAAATGTTGAAATTTCTTTTAAATCACCTTATATGTAGTTGATATTACAACATTTATTAGATTTTATGAGTTAGGGTTCAATAAATTAGCTTATATTGTGAAATGGTAAAGAAGTTAAGACAATTAGATATCCCATCATCTGCTGCATCAGAAAGCCTCCACACGGTTTTCCATAAGTAGTCTGCGCAGACTATTTAAAAAGCAAACCAGTTGTGCTCATGAACCCAAATTCTTTTTTAAAAGTAATTGAGGGAAACTTATAATACATACTTGAGAATTACATTTGCGGTGATTGACAAGTAAATAAAACAAACCAGTCATATTCATAAATTAAAATTTTTTTTGAGATATAATTGCTACCACTTTTTTAATTTTACTAGATTTTATATCAAATGGCGTATCTCCATTTGTAAATTTCGTATTTGTCTGATAAAACTATCAATTACTGGGGTTTCCAACTTTATTGAAATTGTATGTGAGACTCATTTACGTTTGAAGGAACATAAGACATTAACACGATTGATTTTTTATTTGAATAAGTGAACAAATAGCCTAATTTCTCGGCAAGTAAAACCTGAGAAATAAATTTTTTGCACCCTTGGCATGTTAAATTTATACCACCAAACTATTCCGAATTTTCCCGAAGATTTTATTTTCATATTTAAAGTGGTAGTAATTATATACTATTTTTCTTTTATAATCTTAATTTTTAAATGATATTGATCACCACTATTCTTACAAAAATTAAGCACAGATATTAATATAGGTTACTATCATGGTTGTCAACTTAAGTTTTCTCAAATACAACGTATTTGTTTGCTTAAAATTGAAGTTTCAATTNATCATCATTTCTTTATTTCCATGATTTCTTTTAGTTGTTAGATAGCTTTAGTTTAAACTTATCCTAGATTTTTATTTATTTTTAATTGGCCAAGTATGTATTGATAATATGATTAAAATGAGTATGTATCAGTATGTAATGTTAAAAATTTATTTATTATTGTGTTGCGTAAGTCTTTAATGATATTATGATAAAAATGAGTAGGAATCAAAATGTAATGATATGTACTGATAAAAATTTATTTATAATATTTCGCAAGTATTTAATGGTAATATGATTAAAATGAGTATGTATCAGCATGTAATGATATGTAATAATAATATGTAATGATAAAATTTTTAATATTGTTCAAAGTACAAACTAAGGTAGACAACGTTAAAGAGCACAATGTTAATATTTCTGTGCTCTTCAACGTTGTCTACCTTAGTTTGTATTTTAGCAATAAGGTCGCCCACTTGTATATTTATTGTTCAAGTACTTAATGATATGATAGTATGATAAAAATGAGTATGTAACCAAAAATAACTTTGTCAAACTAATTTTGTAAGCGTTGTAAGTAAAATAGCTATTTTGATCAGTGTATTATTAAATTCAATATGCGTAATCAATATGGATCAATTGAATAAATATTTTAAACAAATATTGTTTAATTTTTTTAATGAAAGTTTGTAATTTATTTCCAATTATGAAATTATAACTAAAATGTTGAAATTTCTTTTAAATCACCTTATAAGTAGTTGATATTACAACATTTATTAGATTATATGAATTAGGATTCAATAAGTTAGCTTATATTGTGAAATGGTAAAGAAGTTAAGACAATTAGATATCACATCACCTCCTACATCTGAAAGCCTCCACACGGTATTCCATAAGTAGTCTGCACAGACTATTAAAAAAGTAAACCAGTTGTGCTCATGAACCAAATTCTTTTTTAAAAGTAATTGAGGGAAACTTATCATACATACTCAGAGATGCCAACTGCTCCGGACACGCCAAAATAATTAAAAAAAACGGTAAATAACTACAAAGTATATTTTGAAAATATTTAACAATTTTTGCTTACTTTTTAAAAGGTATAGCATGACATAAGTACCAAAAGTGGTGAATTATATAAGCCTACGAATTGTTTAGAAATAGTGGTGGATAAAAATCTATTTAATTGAATTTATTAAACCAAGAATTACAATTGATAAGTTACCACTTTAAAATATATATTTGCTGTCCGGTGCAAGTTGGCATCTCTGCATACTTGAAAATTACATTTGCGGTGATTGACAAGTAAATAAAACAAACCAATCATATTCATAAATTAAAAAAATTATTAGAGATATATTTGCTACCACTTTCTTAATTTTACTAGATTTTATATTAAATGGCGTTTCATTTGATGGTTAAGCTTCGTATAGTCTACGAAAACTATCAATTACAGGGGTTTCTAACTTTATTGACATTTCATGTCGGACTCCTTTTACTTTTGAAGGAACATAAGATATTGACACGATTATTTTTTTTATTTGAGTAAGTGAACAAATAGCCGAATTTCCTTGCAAGCAAGACCTGAGAAATACATTTATTTGCATTGTTGGTATGTTAAATTTCACAGAAACGGAACAATTAGGGTTTTTTTAATGAAAGAAAAGTATTTTAAACCCATCTATATTTCTTACGAAAATTGCCGGCAGAAAAATGAAAACTAATATATTTTAGTTCGCGCGTTACAAAAAAGGCTTCGCGGGCAGCCAGTTGGTAACCACTGATCTATAAGAAACACTTGTATGTACTTAAAAATCTAAAAATAAAGCTTTCAAAAAGTGTAAATCGCTGTGTCAGTTTTTAAAGCTCATGTGAAATTTTGTTTATTTTGGTTTAGTTTTTTGAATATCTATTATAACCAGTGTTCTTTTTTCTTTTGCTTACATATACCCTAGTTAAAACGGTTATTGATGCATCATGAAAACAACAATTTTTTAATAAACATATTTCGGGCTCTTCTGATGCAAAAGTTTTTAATTGTTTAAAACGTGTTATAAATATAATTAGTGACTAATAAAATATTTTATTTTCAGATTCCTTTATAGATGTATCAATACAGCAAAAAAGGATTTTAAAATTATCCTACGCCTGATGGCTTTATTCTCCAAAGAAGATTTCTTTAGATATCTGATGCTTGACAAAAAATGTTGATTTAGAAATCTAAACTAAAATGTGACAAAAATATATAACTAGATGTTACAAAAAAATAAATAAACAATCTCTATAGGGATCAGTCTAGCAATGGGCACCTCCAAAGAGAAAACCTTTCGAGCATAATTCATTAAAATTTATTTATGTCTTGAATTTTTTTTTTAAAAATTAAATGTCAAAGATTAAGCAGTACAATTGTGTTTACTTTTGCCGCTGTTGAGGCGTGAATTAACAAGTCTTAAAATAAATCGAGTTGAAAGACCACTGTCGACTGTCAACTAAATATAGATTCGGGACATCCCGATATAGAACTTCCTCGTCAAGACATTAATTCAACGTACTACAAGATGTTGGATGATCAAGATATCCGAAACCTGGCACCAAGCCCATCCCACCACGGAGTTTGTCAAAAGATCTCTGACGCTGACAACAATGTGTTCGACGATGTGGGAGCCTGCACGCCGCCTGTGTCTCCCAGGACGGGCCCCATGCCAGGTATTATTCTCACAGTAGAAGGTGAAGCGGACTCTTCCCCAGATCTTGCCAGTGTTGTTGGGAGACACGGAAGTCGAAGTAAAACGCGCCAAAGCCGCAGAGTGCATCAACATCCAGCCAGAAGTCCATCTAGCAGCAGGATGGCGATGCAAAATGGACATAACAAGCTCAGAGAACCTAGCTATTTATCCAGCAGTGGGGTCAGCAGGTCACAGTCAATGAGAACAGCTAGAAGACCTCAATCTGTTGACCCTACGCACAGGTTCAGGCAAAGAATCCAAAGCATTCCCAATGAAATTATTGCTTCGGCAGATGGGTTCAGCGGTCAAAGGCTAGCTTCGAACCAGTCTTTACCATTACCTGGTGATGAGTCTGATTTTATGCGATTGAGGAATTTTGCAGTTACCAGTAAAGGACTTGTGAATCGAGGAGACTCTTTCAGGTCAAAATCCAGGTCATCACATAGTGTAGCATCGATGGGTGGTAGTGGACAGTTACCGGTTGATACTAAGCAACAGCCAAAGGACGACTCAGTAATAAATTATCCGATTGCATCTACTTCTCAGGCTGATCCAGTTGTACCAGAGATGGCGAAAGAAGAAGTTGTTGAAGGTGCAACTGCCATGCCAGAAATACAGAAGTCAAATAGATATAAAGTGTTAGTTCTCGGTGCGCCAGATGTTGGGAAAACAGCTCTTATCAACCAATTTATGACGTCGGAATACATATGTGCTTATGAAAATTCTCAGGGTAAGTTGTTATTGTTTATTTTTATAATTTACAAAAAAGCACATGATCTTAACGTATTGCATTATATAAACTGAAATGTATTATCGCCTTCTTCTTACCACTTCTTACGTAGCAAAGAAATGGAAACCCTTGCAAACCTCTCACGTGAATTTAAAAAAAATTTAGTAATATATTGTTGAATTGCATAAAAATTGTAGCTTGTATATGGAAATGAACTGTAGATTTTAAATCAGAGACGCAAATGTTTTCAAGAATAGTACAGAACGCTCTTGGAACAGAAAAAAAATTGTTCCTCGGTGTTATTATTATTATTATTACAGGGTTTTGAGAAATACATGTCATAAAGACCTTGTGTGAGCGAAATTTCACTTTCACTTACTGTTTATGAAACAATAAAGCAACTCTTTTGAATCGCTGTCCATTTTATCCTCTTCAGACCTAAGGTAACCGTTTCATGCCTCACCAAATACAGGGTACCCACAGCATAAAGAAAATCAAAAAGTGTTGACGAACTTTTCTGAATATTGCCTAAAATTTCATAAAGTAAATCACCAAATATTGTTGTAAAATCAGTTTTGAAGTTTTTGCCCTATAATTGAAAAATATTTTTGACAGATAAAAATAATTGTGTAGATCAGGGATGGCGAACCAATTGCACGCGTGCCATTTATGGCACGCGACACAATATTTTGGGCACGCCACCGACCACAATTGTTATTGCACTATGAATTGTTATTACACAAATGTTATTACACTATGAAGCATATGTAACNTAATAGATATGAAACCTTCAAAATATGCATATTTTTGAAAATTTAGCTACCACTTTATAACAATTTCCAGGCTGTGCTTGGTCGAAATATATTAGGTCTGACACAGTTTTAAGTTTAAAAACTTTTCTACGCACTTTTATGAAAAAAGGCCGTTATAACAATAAATATTTTTCCCCAAAAATTTTTTGTCTTTTAATGAATAATTTTATACCATTTAAAGTCATTTAATCTTTTTGCTTTGATACACATCTATAATTATGGCTTCATTTTCAAAAATCTACCTCATTGATACTTGATCCCCAATTAAAAACTTTTTTTGGGGGGTGGGGGTATAAGTTTGAAAACTTTTCTACTCACTTTTACAAAAAAGGCGATTATAACAATAAACATTTTTTCCCATTTTAAGTTTTTTAATATTTTTGCTATGATTCACTTCTAAAATCATGCCTCCAATTTTTAAAACATGTACCTAATGATCCAAGTTTCTCTTATTAAATACATTTTTTTTCCTAATTTCAACTTAAGCAACTTATTTGTAAAGTTTTTAAGTATACTCATATAACTTTGTTGCTTCAATTAAATTATTAGATATAAATTTTCTTACATACAAAATTGTGTTATTTTATGTTATTATTAGTAATGTTGTTTATTAGTGTTATCAGATAGATTGCGCAATCTATAGCTTGCATTTTTTTATTCAGCTAATGCTGAGTGAAATATATTTCGAAATAAATTCAGAGAATTATATTCTAGATTTGAGCGATAGGATATCCGATCTTAATTACATTTTAATAATATTCTTTTGAAATACTAAACAAAAGAAAAAAGACATAAACCAAACAAATATTGATAAACAATATATCTAATACTTAAAAAAAAGAGCTAAAATTAAGCGTAATGTGAACTGAAATTTAAATAATATAAAGTTCTCGAACGATAATTAAAAAACACATGTTCAATTAAGTTGAAAGGTATATCAGTTTATCAGCAAATGTTTGGGAAGATTACTTTAATGAAAAATAATTTACTTTAATTTAAAAATGTAAATAGTTCTTAGATACCAAATTAAAAACTTTATAAATTTTAATGCGTAATTAATGCTAATTTCTCATAAAATTTGCTATGGCCTAGATAATTGGTGCCCAAATTGTGTACAACAGAACCCTAGGAACTCCGTGAATGAGTTAAAATGATTACGCGAGTTCTTTTCATAACAAGTGATTATTTTTGAAACCTCTGATTATATTCGGTTCCAACCTATAATTCTCAATTTATTTAATCTTTTGGTAACCTTTAAGAAATTATTTACAGGTAAAATGTAAATATGAAGGAAATAGCAATTTTTTTAAAAAAAAGGATATTTCTAATAATATATTTAGTAAATTATGAAAAGAGCAAGCATTTATTAAATATTGCATTATTATTACCCCTATCTGGCTTTTCAAATTAAAATAACTAAAGTTTTTAATTTAAAGAAAAAGTCTCCATAATGACCATTTTTAGTGCTTGTAGCAGATCATTTATGTTTTCATATCGAAGTAAACCATAATTCGAATTTTTTATTCATTTTCGACACATTTTTATTTTATTCAAACTCATAATTAGTCTAGACTAAAAATTTAAGAGCAAGGACAAAAAATATGACTGTCGGGTATATAACCTTATTTGAGATTATTATGAAGAAAAGATGAAAAACCTTCATTCCTTTAATTTAAATGAATATTTTTCTCTGAATAAGTAGTCTTTTATAGGTTAATGCGTTTGCAATAACTTTAATAAACTTTACTTATTAAGTCCGGGTTCCGCCGACGAAAGGTTGGTTATTTAGGGTTCCGAGGGAAAATAATCTAAACCTCCGTTTCAGATTATTCCTAACACCTCATGCATACCTGCCAACTTTTGATCCATTCTATTTTTTCCCAGTGGTAGGAAAATAAAATTAAAATTTCAATTGCAAGCAAAATATAACGTATTATTTGTCGTGATTATTAATCGCGAGATTAACACAGAGATGCCAACTGCTCCGGTCACGCCAAAATAATTATTAAAACAGTATACAACTACAAGTAGATTTTACAAACATTTGACTATTTTTGCTTGCTTCTTAAAAGGAATAGCATATCATAAGCATTATAAAGTGGTGAATTATATAAGCCTACGAATTATTTAGAAAGAGTGGTGAATAAAAATCTACTAAATTGACTTTATTAAGTCAAGAATCACAATTGATAAACTACCACTTTAAAATATAAATTTGCTGTCCAGAGCAAATTGGCATCTCTGTTAACACATATTAAGGTATATGCTTAATTTTTTTAAGAATAGTGGTGATCTAAATCATTTAAAAAAAAATATAAAAGAAAAAAAATAGTATATATTTACTACCACTTTAAATATAAAAATACAATTTTACGCCAAATGCGTAAGCGTTGGCAGGTATAGTTAAATGTATCATAGTTAAATATTAGTTATAGTAATAGTTAAATGTACCATAAATAAGCAGAGATGCCAGCTGCTCCGGACACGCCTAAATAATTAAAAAAACGGTAATTAACTACAAAGTGAAATTTGCAAACATTTGACTATTTTTGCTTGTTTTTTAAAAGCTATTTAAACAGCAAGCAAATTTTTATTGCTAATTTCTTTACGTTTTATGTGGTGAGCTGTATAACCCTATGAATTATTCAAAAATAGTGGTGGATAAAAATGTACTAAATTGAATTTATTAAATCAAGAATCACAATTGATAAACTACCACTTTAAAATGCATATTTGCTGTCCGGAGCAAGATGGCATCTCTGTATAAGTAGTAGGTACAATGCGACTAAAAAAAAAAAGCTGAAAACTGAATAAGGGTCAAATTAATTTTTTCACTATATTAGTATCAAAGTTTAAAAAATAATTTTGGCTCATTGCTTCAACAGAAAGGAAAATACGAGGAATAATTATAATATACAGTGGGTAAAAAAAGTCTCCGTACGCAGATATGAATGCAAATCAAAGTTTAATTTGTCACACAAATTCATAATGATAAAAATGAAAACTTAAAAATGTGTTAAAACTAATATTATTCAATATTTATTCATATTAAAAGGATGATAATACTGGCAAAATTAAATAATAAATCTTAAAAACTCAAAAAAATGTCGTAAACATCGAGCAAAAAAGTCTCCGTACAGTACCCTAGCACACGAAAAAAGTTTACAAAAATGCAAAATACATTTAATGATCAGTGGGCCCTCCTTTGGCCTTTATCACCTCTCTTAGACGTTTTGGCATTACCCTTACAAGTTTTTTTGTTGTTTCTGGAGAAATATTACAACAAATCCTACTAATGGCACTTTTGAGTTCAACTTTGTTTTTTATGTCATATTTTTTAAGTTGTCGGCCAATTTCTTCCCACAAATGTTCGATGGGGTTTAAATCGGGTGACTGGGGAAGGCTATGAAGTTGTTTAAGATGGTGAGGGCGCCGCTCTTGGCAAATCTTAGAGGTGTGTTTAGGATCGTTGTCCTGCTGAAAAGTAAATCCAGTTCCAAGAGATAGTTTCTCCGCTCTGGATCACACATTTTGCTTAAGAATATTCAGATATCCAAATCGATACATAGTTCCCTCGATGAATTGCAAATTACCTACTCCAGAAGCACTCATACACCCCCACACCATAACACCGCCACCACCGTGCTTCACAGTTCCGCATAAATTCTCAGTTAGCATTTGTTTGTTTGGTTTTCTCCGCACCATAACACGGCCATCTAACCCATGAATGTTAAATTTTGATTCATCTCTAAAAAGAATGGATTCCCAGAAAGATAATGGCTTGCTTACATGTTTCATTGCAAACTCGAGGCGCTTTTTCCTGTTGCACAAACTTATATAGGGTTTCTTCCGGGTCGCTCGTCCATGATAACCACTTTTTTAATGACATTTTTCACGGTTTGAGTTGAGACTTTAATGTTGTAACTAACCATTTAATCAGCTGCCAACCACGGTGCACTAATTCGTGGATTTGTTCGTGGACTTGGCGTATGATGTTTCTTTTATGCACGCGATTTAATTAGGACGGCCTCCACGATCGATCTCAATCAAGTGAATAAAATTTACGATATCTTTCAATGATATATTGCACAGTAGACTTCGATTTTTTAGTCATTTCACTAATCCTTCTCATGGATAATTCATCTTTTCGCAATTTAATCACTAATTCCCGAATAGCAACTTTAACGA